CAACTGGAAAATATTTCTTCAAGTCATATAAAATGGGTACTTGGCAGATTCAGTTGCTGCATCTATTTTTGGTAAGACTTGTTGTGATATCCATGTTTAGGCATTATGGTTATAAATATCCTTCCTTTGTAACATCTCCAGATGATGGGTGCTGAGGAATACAAACAAATGTTTGCCACACTCTTTTAGTGTCAGCGAATTCTAATGAATAATCTGTTTCTGTTGATCCTTGTCAGATCAGTAAAGACCTAGACCCTTGTTAGATTAGTAAAGCTCAATGACAGTTCATCCCCTCTAAAATAACACAAGATCCAAGAGCCTGAAATGGGGTCAGGGCTTACTTTTCTCTTTTGGGTTAAATGCATGGTTAATTTTCCTTTTTCTTTTTGATTGCTTACAACTTTTGTCTTTATAGCAGGATAATCATATGCAGCTGAATGAAGGCAATTTTCTTCTTTGATGACTCCTTGCATATGGCTATTTTTTGATTTACAAAAGGAGAACTTAGTCTTCACTATGTCCTAACTAAAATGAACCAAATTTTAATGGAGACCATGGAATGATGTTGGAAGATTGATAATAGAAAGTTTCATTTTCCCAGGGTAGATACAACTTACTAAAAGACTTCAGAAGGAAGTCTTACCACCCATAACATTTATCCCAGAAGTAGTACTAGAATCCTAGTCACTTACCATTGCAGTTGTTTCTTTAGAAGAGTAGCGATAATTTCTTTTGATCCTGAGAAGAGTGTTGATATTTCTTTCACAGCACGCACTTCTGCAGCTTACACACGTTTGGTTTTTGATAGGATGCTAGGAGATGGGCGACCTAGCCCTGCCCTGTGGCTCTCCCTCCGAGATGAATATTCTAGGTCTAGAAGCCGACTGGGAGCAGAAAAGACAACATATTCCCCTTCAATAAACAGGTGAAGTGGGGGCCTAACACTTTGCACATAATGTGCTTTAGATAGAGCCTTCTTAAGGAATGAGTTTTTCCTTAGACGGCATACATCCCTGCTCAAAATTTCAAATGTGGAAGCGATTCTTACCACGTCAAACTCAGATCAAGAAGGTCCTTCCATGTAATGCCTAAATAAGCAATCTTTCACAACACATCTTTTCAAAGAGTAATCACAGAGCACTTTCTATCTAGTTTGCTTCTAGAGGTAAAACTATCTTGTGATACAGACAAGTAAAGTGCTGTCTTGATTCTCAGTTTATCAAATGAATCCATTCAAAAATGAATTAAAACTTTACAGATTGGTTGGATATGAATATAAATACATACAATTAATAGAATGATTTGCCTTTTTAAAGCAAGAATTTGAGTTGTGTTTTTGTAAGGAAGCAGTTTCAGAAGGGCCAAGAGATGGCAGCTGAAGTCTCAGGAGTCCATCTCACTAAGCATAGAAGAAAAGGAGAATGCTTGTCTCCCCTACACCCCAAATCCATTTAGGGATGAATATGATACTTTTGTAGCACTCTCAATTCTCTGATCTAAACATGTTCCACGTGTTAAGAAATTAATCTTGTCTATGAATTTGATCATCAGAAATAGGGAGGAAAAAAAAGATAGGTTATGCTACACAATATGGGATTTCTGCATGTTTTATAGGAAAAAATAAAGATGAAAGGTATATATTATACACTTCAAATAATCCCATTTGTTTATGTTGTAAGAACTCTGTGTTAAACAACAGGTCTTAGTCACAGGATCCCCAAGCAATATCCTCATATGCTGGCTGGAAATTCACAAAGCATCTAGAAACTGTTCCACAGATATGTATAGATTTTTGTTTGGTGACAGGTTGCCAAAAATTTAAATAGAAAGAACTATGCCAAGCAACAAGGCATTTCACTGCACTTTTTGATGATGCACTGATGAACTTCTTTGAAGGGTTTTTATATTTTTATCCAAGACATGACCACAAAGACAAGTACAGAAATACTGAAATTTTTGCCACTTGGAAATATAGTTCCTGCTTCCATCAGATTTGTGCACAGAAATGTTCAACACAGAAAGATTATGGCTTATAAGAGACTAGAACAGACCAGAACAGCATATTCATATTATTCAGCATATTGCAGAACCTCCTCTTAAAATGTGTATTTAAAATTTATTTTGATGCTTCTTAAGTAGCTTAAGGTAAACTAAATGAATTTTAAAACATATTTTAGTTTCCTGAGAATGGCAGTCAGGCCCAAAGACTTCCAGTCATCCAATGAATAGCTAAAAGACAGGAAGTAGCAATACAAAATTTCCACACATTGCCCTGTCAGTACATCTGAAATAGAACCTCAAATATAATTAGTTTCAGGAATACCACCAAACAAGCAGATGAAAACTATTTTCAGTCAATGTGGTCTCAGACTGAGTTCAAGCCAGCACTCTAGGTGAAACACGCTGCATGCCTTTCATGAACACTTTTTTCCTCTCATCCAAGCATTGAGAAGATTCAACATGAATCAACTGAGATCAGAAGTCATAGACCATAGTATCCACAACCTAGGTATATTATTTATCAACTGAAGCCACAGAAACCAAGGTAACCAAGCAGCAGGAACCAGACTAAGAATCCTGCACAAGCTCCTACTAGGTCTTCAGGACAGGCATCCATTTTAATTTTTATATATATTATAACTAAATTAGGAGGATCAAAAGAACAATTCACTTAGAACATCAAGTATCAGGTCTTGAAGATATCATCACTCATCCAAATACTGTATTAATGCAGTACAATCAACTTTATTTTCAAAGAAAATAGCGAAACTCAGAGATACTCAAGAAAGAAAAAAAACATCATCTGCTGACAGCCAATAACTTATTCTTGCATTTGTGGTAACTCAGTGGTTACCAAATACATTTTTATTAAGGAACACTTAACAGAATTTTGTTTGTTAGTTCAGTTTTTGTCTTAGTCATTGCCTGGTTGAGTAACACACTGTGATGTAAGAGATGCAAACTTGTTAATGGGCATAACAACTTTCTGTATGATACATACATTAAGCTTATGAGCTAGTTACACAGTGTAATACCGTCACTTGCAGCTAAAGTAATGAATTAACTATAACCTTAATATAGGAGTAACATTCAGAACACCATACCAAAATAAGTGTTCATGAACCCCCACTACTTTTCAGTTGATTGCAAAACTTCCATAACATAAAACAACATTCCTTCAAACAAGGCACAGTCATTCTTGAGTGAACATGAGTAAGAACATGCCAAGCTCAGAGTTTAAAACTAAGTTTTTTTAATGAAGTGAAATAAAGGGACTGAAAATAAGAAGTAAATCCCACCAGTTTTGACTTATTTAGCTCAAAAAATGCCATATTTTTATGACTATGTGATTTGCATCCTTCCTTCACTTTTCCTGCCTTCCAGCTTGCCTTCCAACCCCAAGGCCAAACACAGTTTTTGAATAAGTTAAAAATGACCAAAAACTGGGTGTTTTAATAAGCAGCAGCATCTACAACTTATGTACAATATCATTAATGTAGTGTTAGAGCAGAGAAAATCATAACACAGTTTTCTGTACAGATGTGTCTTGGATTAATTGTTCCATAATACTTAAAAACAAACAATTCTTCTGGCTCTAATCCTTCTTGAGTCATGCCAATTTAATTTAGGGTGCACCGACCCTCCAATTATAACAGGAGGTGCCGAGAACTAAAATGAAGACTGTAGTAATGAAACACACTCATCTTTTCAAATATAGTGTAATTTATTATATTGGGCAAACAAGGGAAATTAAATATATAAAACACACCCTCAGAATAACCTTAAAGAGCAGATTTAAAAAGTAATAAAAGCAAGCAAGCAAATTAAGAGGTAAAACTAAGCACACCATCTATAGAACTTACCCTGCTGGTCTATCTACCCTAACAAGAATGGCCCTCTCTCAGTAGGGACATAGGAATGTTTGGTCAGACCAGAAGTGGGATGGTCAACACCTGGAAGTTGAGGGGTAGGGGAAGATGGAAAAGAAACACATACCAGACCTGCCAGGGCCTAGTTGCTCCTTAACATGTGAGAACCTTCTCGGGGATTGGGAGGGGCTTTTCTGCCTTCCATTGGCTGGGTACAAGGGCACATTACTTTGGAGGGAATTCTGTATCACTGCATCTGCACAGAATTCACAGCCTCGCAGATACAAACACGCAGTATGTTCATGTTTAGTAATACCTAAGCACACTGGTACCTCAGACTGTTAATCTGAGTTGTTATAAATGTATTCAATATCTTCACATAGAAGAAGTTTCATAAGAACACAATATAACACTACAAGTGAGTTTATGGCAGGCAGGTAGGCAGGCAGAAAGACAGATTTTGCCAAATAAACTCAAACAAAAATTTCTTTTTTAAAAACCCTATATTTTTAATCTTCCACTTACCTCACTTTAAATACATCACACAAACATTTAAATTTGATTTCCAATAATGAACATTAGTAAGATGTTAACATTTGCAAGATGCCTTTTTTCCTTAATATTGTGCCTCGGTTTAAAAAATAAACCCACATACATTTCTAGTTCCAAAATAAACTGAACAAATGAGATACTTACTTATCAAAGATATCGCTGTTTTTTATGAAGCTCTCCATTTTTTCCTTAGCATATTCTACCACATCTGAATGAAGCTCAATTCCATGATTTATTCCAAAAGGGCCTGTAATTTAAAAAGTGGTTTTATAAGCATAATACGGTTTTATACACTTTTATAATGCCTTTCATTTAATGATACCACAGTGCTTTTATTAACACTTAATTAGGCCTCCAAACATCCCTACAAAAAAGGACATTTTACAATCTTTACAGATGGGCAAACTAAGGCATACAATTTAGTGAGCCAATGAAATGCCAGGAGTAGAACACAGGAATTCCGGCTCCCCATTTCCTGTTATCACCTGCCCACACTACCACAAAGAAAGAGCAAGTACAATTTCTCCTTTATGAGAGAAAGTGCAAAAATCTTTTCTTAGTATTTGGATCTTTTCTTAGTATTTAATTAGACTTTAATGTGGCACATGCTTTTTTAAAGCCAATAGTCAGGAGTTGGAATTAAGTCCATGTGTTGATCATTATAATGTATCCATTAGGAGGAGGATTAAAATTTGCTAAATTTCGAGTACATTTTATTGAAGTAGAATCAACTCAACCAATGATGGCACAGAGATTTAGCACACCATGCCCTCTCTCAATTATGCAGTTTCCTGAATCCTTATGGGTAACTGCGTTCAGCCAACTGGAGCACGTAAGTGCTATGCAAGTATTGATCTACAACAGTACTGTGTCCAGCTCTCCATTTAGATGGATCCTACAAATATGTCCTCCACGTTAACTTTTAACCCTACTCCTTACCCTCTCAACACTTTGGAAATCATAGGGTTTTTTAACAGTTTAAAACTGAATTTGAGTTTGTGGCAAAAGTGTTAAGTCCACTCTTCTGAAGTAGTAAGGTGCAAGGATTGAAAACTAGAACACATTAAAAACTAGAATTAGGGGAAAGAAGTGGCCATTTGTTATAGGCATAAAGAGATAGGAGCTCTGTATGTAGGCACTCCACAGAACGGAGATTTTAGCAGCCAAGCAGAGAAGAGGAAAAAGCACATTTCAAAACCAAACAGCAACTATATGTTGCATTCCATCAATTAGTAATCACTATACCCCAAGCCTTTACTTGTGGAATTATTTAGCATAACCCTTTATTATCTAAGGCAAGAAGCATTTCTATAACCAAATTATTTATCCAGTAAAATTCACCAGGAATTTTTTTGCAAAACAGAAGTGTTGAAGCAATTACAGGAAAAAAATACAGGAGTATTTCTGATGTTTTAAATATTGTTAAAACAAATAGATTTGCAGCACAGGCTCTCTTTTTATGGGGGAAAAAAACTTTAATAAATTCTATTTGGTGCAATGTCACCATAATATTCTGAACCATGAGCCTGGAAAACATTTGTAATCCTTAGCATGAAATTAGAACATCTGGTATGCCATGCAATAAACTGGATCCAAAAGAAGAGGTTGTTACATGTTTTGCTCATAAGCTTTCCTACTGGCAGACTTACAGGACACAGAGGGGAGATACCTGCCTTCACAGCACTGAAAGGTGCTTTGTTGGTACACATACATCCTTTATTAATTTAGCTCACTGCTTCCCATTGCACGGTCAGTAAAAGCAGTCCTTTTCCGTCTCTTGCAATACTAGTAAAGCTGTCTTTAAAATGCAAAATCCCTTCTTGTAAAAATGTTCAATATATTTAAAAACTAAACAAAATTTCTGTTGAACAAGGACAAAATGTCAAAAATATGAAATCTGTGTGTGAAGAGATTTCAAGAAATATTCCATTTCAGGACATTAAAAAAAATCCACCTTATTGTAGGAAAACTGTCTATCAGTACCATTATTTAAGAGACAGAGAGTCCAGCTTCTCTCCACCTTCCCTCACCTAAATTCTGGCTCCTCAGCCCTGTAAGCAGAAAGCTTTGGACCAGTAGAAAGTAAGATTGACAAACACCTACCAGGCTAGCTTTCTGATTTTCCCCAATAGAAAAAATTAATATTGTTTTGAAAAACTGAAATTTTCCCAGAGAAAGTGGACATTCTTCATCAGCATATCATTCTGACAAAAAAAAAGTTTCTCACTACTTCAATTTGCTAGCTAACAAGCATGCTAACAAAAAATGAATGGGCATCAGTGTTTTCAAAACCAAATATTTCAGAAAATCTTTCCTGGGAATCAGAAGCAGGTTTTCAAATATAATTTACTTTAAATGAATTCTCATTCCCCTAAGCTAATTGCCTCAATTGTTTTCCTGTGTCTAGCATTTTGGCTGAACTATTAGCTTTTTCAATTACAATTATTACCATCTGTTCCAAAATTCATGCAAATTTCCAAATGGAAATTAATTTTTACTGGTTTTGAAGACAATCATGAAGAATGTTTGTCACAAATGTTTGAAGTTTTGTGACTTTTAAAAGTGACGAGGGACATTTGTGTGTAGTAAAACAACATGCAATGAGGCAGCAATTAATCTCTGCAGCAACATGACAATGTAAAATAATGCAGTGTCATGATACACACTTCAGAATTGCTAGATGGTAAACTGAACAGAAGAGAGTTGGCAACACTGTTTTCATTAGTTTTTCCAGTTTTAGGATACGATTGTATATGATCGTATCATAAAAACTGACACTTTTGCATTACTTCCTAGAGTAACATTTCATTCACAATGTGATTATGCTAACCTCATCATTATCTATCACCATTATTAAGTCTGAAAAATGCTTCTGGTTCTAAAATCCTGTAATACTCAATTACAGAAGCCAAAGGATTTGTCTGCACTGATCATTAAAATTATGTGAACTATTCTTCCTATGTGTATTATTATCCCTGTCTTTATGTTAAACTTAATCTGACGAATGTAGCAAGCTATTACAGACCAATTTGTATTTCAAGAAGTCCTCAATTTTAAGTCATCTACACATTAATTTAGCATTACATTAAAATTCATAAAATCATCAATATGGTATTCTCTATTAATCCCACTACTGAACCGTCAGATACCCAACCATTGATAAATAATTTTCTGTCTCCTAACACTAATATGGTACAAATTGAAACAGAACAGGCTCTGTTTTAAAGAGCTGTAAAGGTTTCGTTTTATTATAATCAGTAAAATAAATCTTCATTGTCAAAGAATATTTTGTTCAAATATTGCTATAAATCTGACTAACCAGGCTGAGTTAAGAACTGCAGACCAGGTTGTGCCTACTGATTCACACACTTAGAAGGACCTCTCTCCATGTGAAAGGGCAAAGGGAAAAGTCAGTCACTTTCACTATTTAGTTCTCCTCATTCCCTTTCTGGAAACCTGCAAAGGATTAGAACTTGTCTGTGAGGTGTGGCCAGGTCAGGCAGCTCACATCATCCACACTGGCCCCATAGAGATTAGGTACACGATGAAGGGGAACAGCAATGTTCCTGTACAAATGGGGGGGGGGGGGGGAAATCTCTAGCTTCCCCCCAGCCCTATCTAAAGGGGACCTAGGAGGTGGGAGAGAACGTTGCCAGCCAGACTCTTTCACCTGCCTGTGATTTTGTCTCTTTTCAGCATGGTTTTATAAGAAGCAATCCCATTCCCAGCACAACCAAACCTTTACGTTGCTTTAAGTTGTGGTAAGAGGAAGTTGCACACCAAATTTGGTGGTCCCAGTTCTTACAGTTCAGGAAGAGTTTTTGAACAAACAGACAAACTCTCTCAAATATATAATAGATTATACTGTAATAGATTATACTTGGGGAAGTATTTGTACAAAATTGCCTATATTTATAATCTCCCATAGAGATAAAACGCCCATGCCATAAACAGAGCTGGTACAAGAGGAACAGAACGTTACATGAACAAACCGAAACAATTATTTTATCAGCATGTAGTGAAATTTTGAATTTATACCTATGAATGAATATTACCATCAGAAACATTACTGAATACTGTTTTGTATTAGGTAAGGGAACGAATTTCAGTTTCCACAAGAGGGAGCACTGAATCACCTCTCTCACTTTAGTTAATATTACTTGGAAGGAATTCCAAGCCTTGGTAGTGATTAAATCTGTTAAATATTCTTCTTCCATTCAGAATAGTATCTGTTTCTCTTAAAGGTTTTCTGCTCTCCATTATCTCAATCTGTAAAAATTAGTAATCCAGGATTTCAAGAATTCCATATACTGGAAAAAGTTCACATTTTGTAAAAAAATTCTGTAGCAGTGATATTAGTACCTCCTTAATTAAAAAGCAATACTGGAAGATACAAAAAAATTATTTAGTGGAAGAAAAAAGTGTCCAGGACACTTACATCCCATTACTGAATTAAATGAAATTCCACTATACAATGCAGAGTTATGTCAGGTAAAAAAACATCTGAGGATATTTACACACACACACACACACACACACACACACACACACACACACAAATCAGAGTTTGGGCTTAATTTCTTTTGATATGAAAAGATGCATTTAATATAAATGTTCTGCTCTCTAAGATATATAGTTTTAAAATAAATCCATTTAGCAACATATTACATTCACTTTTTAGCTGGTAGCACAACCTTATTTAAGTACAATAAAGGATGAGCAGTAAACGTAAAAACATCCAATCTTAAGCAGTGAATATTTGCCAGAGAAGTACTAATACTCTGTTACATCTAGGTGGTTTTCTGAGGAATGGCTTACTTATGTCCTAAGCATATAAATCTCTTGCCTTAAGTTTTACACTTTAAAGAGTCCTTACTAAGTTTAAAAGTTGCAGTAAGTTTTGGCAATAATTGTTTTCATGCTCCCTGTTGAAAGTCATAATATTCTTTGTGACAACAACATTCAGCTTGTGTGGGCATTATGATGTCAAAAGGGTTTATAATTTCAAGTGACTACAGGAGGGTAATCTATTTAAGCAGCAAAACATTGTTTCTGTTAAAAGGCCATTCTTAAAAAATGTTTTTGAATTACAATTTTTCTAAGATTATCAAGGAGCTCTTAACCATTTCACAATATTCTGAAGAGGAAGTTACTCACCTTGTGCATTAATGATGGTTCTTTGAGATGTGTCCCCCCGTTGGTGCTCCACTGTAGGTGTCAGGCTCGTCCCGGCGCTGCAGATCAGAG